GTGTTGTCTCAAAACTTTGAGCAATATCATTGTAATTAAAAAAAATACCTTCATGTAGCAGTTTTTCTGACAGAGGTCTAGGGTTTTTTACATGTATATTTTCAATTCTGAAGCACACAAGGTCCAGCAAATTGAATAGCTTAGACTTCTCAGTATATGAGGCAATTTTATTGTGCATGGGAGGGAGTTGTGGTTGCTTAATTAGGTCTCACCAGACTAAAACAGCTGAAGGCATGCTCTGAAGGAGACACAAATCCTGGTTGACTTTATCAGAACTAATTCTATTATATAAATTGGGATGGCTTACAGGACAAAGTTGAGAGAGAGATCAGCCTTGCCAAGCTCTCTTGTGGATGGCAGAGGTTAAAATAAGAAATGGTTTTGACTCTTTTTATTCCTGCTAACTTTAGTGGAATTGCAAGTACTGCTGAATTTTAAAATGTCCAACTTGAAATTATTTTTTCCTTTTTTCCCCCTCAATTTCAGGCATTGGGAACCATTATTACTACCTGTTGTTCCTGTTTTTCCTGACAGTGACTGGTGTCTGGCTGCTTTATGGAACTCTTCAGTGTATGTATCCATGAATTTAGTTTTATTTAGCTTTCAAATCCATCTCTATGTGGTCTTTATTTTTTAGCATTTCATTTCCAGCAAGTACAACCTGCACAACTGATACCTTATTTTAGCAGTGATGTTACTGTGTAGCTTAAGTGAAAATGCATCCTATCTAAGTCTTTGGTCAAATACCTGATTCCATTTGTGTTGAGCAATAACAAAGATGCTGCTGTAGTGGAAATGGAAAATGAAATAGCAGGAAGCATTTTTGTTAGAGAGGAAATGGGGAAGCCATGTGGCAGGAGGTCAGATGACAGGTTTTAATCTGGATCCCCTTTGCTGTAATAGAAAATAAGTTTGTAAATACATTATTGCAAAAGCTTGATTTTTTTTTTTTCCTTTTTAGTTTGGAAATATCCATACTAAATGCAGGCATTTCTTTTTGATTTTAAAGTAGTTTAATTCTGAAGAAAAAAGAAGTATATTATCTTGTTAATGAACCTGGACTATTACTTTGTAAAATTAAAAAAATTATTTGAAAGGAGAGGAAAACCTTTATAATTTAGTTGCTGAGGATGAACTGCTATAGCACCAGCCTTTAAAAACAAAGATGTTTTTCTGTGGATCATGAGCACAGAGTGTAAAGATTATGCAGCCAGAATAGCAAGCACTCACACATCTGTGTGGGTGCTTTTAGGTGGCAACGGGGTGGATGAAACATAGTATTTCTAGAGGATGTTGCTATGTAATATTACTTTCATGCAGATACTCTTTCCTCAGCTCTCAAGGGCTTAAAAACACAATTAACTGATTGTGTGTCTTGTCAGATTGGTCCAACCACTGTGCAGCAAATTTCCATCAAGATGGGGCATGGATGTACTTCACCCAGACAGTGTCCTGCTCCCCCTGGGTTTCCTACATCTCCTCAGTAGCTTGTTTCCACACCCTGTGGGCCTCTGTGTGGCTCGCTGTTCAGCTTTATCAGGTAATATTTTCCTTCAGTTTATGCTTCTTGACAAATTAAAGCTCTTCCCTGGATGGTTTGCTCCCATAAAAACTCTGTGCCTGCTCTCCCTGATTACTGTCACAGCAAGGTGCTTCTCTTAAATCTCAAGGCAGACCTTGAAGTTTCACAGGTTCAGCTTGTGCACTCAGCATTTCTCTGTTGGAAGTAGAATCACAGTCTGCAAATCATTCCTATAACTGAGCTCTGGGTTTACTACTCAAAATTCCAAGCCTATAAAAAGTTGTATTTAAAGCCAAGAAATTTATTTGACTAATAGAACTGGTATTAATGCCCCCAAAACTGCACGAAATCTCAGTAACACAGTTATTCCTGAGTTGAAAATTCTGTGTCATTAGACTGTATTAAATCCCACTGCTACTGTAAAAATATATGACCTGGATTTTATCTTGATGAGGGCTGTCAAATTTCTTGTTTATGTTTTTCTCAGAGAAAAGCTTGGCTATGCAAACAAAATTGAGAAGAGCTGTCTTAAAACATCTGTGAAACAGCTTGTTTAGCAGCTCTTAGGAAACAGGTGTCTTTGAAATATGTGTTAAGCACACTGAGCTAAGGACTTGTTTTAATCTTGCTCAGTAAAAGAAAACCCCGAAAACCAAAAAGCTCCACAATCTTAGACGTGTACTGCTAGAGTTTTGCAATGTCCAAGACAGTGGGATATCATGCTGGAAAAATATAGGGAGGATTAACTACTTAACACAGTTGAACTACTGTGTTTCATACACAGTGATTTGAAAACATACTGCTGTATGGCATTTAGTGTCATTGTGGATCAAGGTGTCTTTTTCTACCATTTTGTGTGGTAGAATGTAGACAAAAATCTGAGGAGATTGATGCTTAACTGTGATAGATCTTATACTTCTGCAGACATCTGGGAAAGTGCAGTCTTCACAGGCATCCCAACTAAGCTTGCCTTCTCTGGAAGCTGGTCCTTGCCAGGTTCTGTTTTAGCCCAAGTGACATTTAAACACATACTTTTCAGTCATCAGTTATAGCAGTGGTTACTTATTTGTTAGATATGTCCAGGCTCTTCCCCCCTGCTCTCTTCTTATTAGTATCTTTTGCTCACCAGGATTTTGTGATGTTCACGTTGTAACCATTACTTATGTTTTTTTCCCAATCAGATTGTGTTCCTGGGCTTGACCTCACATGAAAGAATGAATCTCCTGGTACAGAGAAAATCCTCTAAGCATCCTGTTTCACTCAGGAGGACTCCATACAAGTGGGTATTAATGAATAGAGTGTTTTAAACACTCTATTTTAAACATGTTATCTCTTCAGTACCGATTTGCTTCACTGCTTCATAAATGCAAAACCACTGCTTTTGGAGCGAGGGAGTGCTGTCCAAAAATTTGTTCATCAGTCTCTGTGTCTGTTGTGTAGGATCAGAAAGGGGCCAGTTCATACCTTAATTCTCTTTCTGACTTCTCCTGCAGTATTTAGCTCTGTTAATAGAGAAATCAGTACCAAGGTTTCTCTGTTTCCTCAGGTGTACTAACAGATGGGATCTTACTAACTGTGGGGCATTATTTGAGTTCAACTTAATCTACTCTTATGTGTTAATCTAAAACATGTTGTAAAAGTTCAGCAAAGGAATGATGCTTAATTGAGAGCTCTTCTGTTTCTTCTTCCTGAGCTGTCTGCCTTGACAGGTTAATATCTCAAGTGCTGTCTCATGGTGAAGTGGTTTTTTCATGCTTGCAGTCTTCTTTTCTTAGGTTTATGAATGCATATTCTTCTCTTTTTTTCAGCCTTGGATGCTTCCAGAATCTTGCAGACTTTTTTCAGTGCAGTTGCTTTGGTATGTTCAAACCCAACTTCATTGACTGGACCAAGCAATACAAACTTTTTCATCCGGCAAAAGAGAAAAATGTTCATTCTGTGTAAAATTTTGCTTAATTTCTAAAACGGTTGAGCTGAAAGCTAAATAAAACTAGATATTTTGTTAATTTCTACAAATTCTTCTGAAGCTGCTTGATTTTATTTTTTATTATTGTTTCAAATATTAAACTTACATAAGATACAGCAGATTTGTATATGGAACAGTCACTGTGTGTCTGTGTATGTATAGTTTGAGCTGAAACTATTTAAAATTTTATGTGGGGAGATGACACGAATATATATATTTTTAAAGGTAAGTTTTTGGGGCAGAATTTCAAAATTGTGTTGGTAAGATTTGCTTTACTTTTCTGGTAACAAAAGACAATTAAATTTGAAAATTAAGGTGAACGTTCATGTTTAAAAAATTAATATTACAATTATATTGTAATTTTATTGCTTATGCTGTGAAAAATCTCTATTAAGTCTTTGTATTGGAAGAGTTTAGATGTAATAAAATAGAGCTTTCATACTTGTAAGTGTATTTTTGCAGATTGAAATAGAGTCAAGGGATATGTGACCAGTGAGGTATTTAAGAGTGGGTGGGCACAAAACCATAAGAAGGAGCCTGACTCTTTGCCTTATGTTTTTCACATATATATGCCCTGTTAGGCTATGAAAATGGGTAAGTTTATGATGGAAGAGAGCAATGCACATAAAAAGAGGGAATTGTTCCCCACTGCATCTGTAATAGCTGATGTCAGCCACGTTCCCAAGAAAAGGAGGGGCCAGCTATACCGTGTGATATGAATGTAAGTCAAAGTAGGTAACAATAAAACCAGCAGGAAAAGAGTTCAAGATCAGGAAATTAAAGCCAGATACCATCTAGAATAGACTGTAAGTACTGTAGTGAAATGCAGTTCTTGTGTCGGGTTTCATTCATTTTGGTGAAATCCATTTATCTGAAGCATTGTAGAATGTGTAAGCACAAGCAAACACAAATAAAAATAATGTGAAGCAGTAAGTACTTTATTGGAGCTTGAAAACAGACAAAACTTATAACACTGTATCCTGAGAAAATGTTGGGTTTTTTTAGAAATACCTCCCTCAGAGAAAGAGAGTTTCAAATCCTTTTTAATTGTCTCAAAGCAAATAACATCTACTTATTCTAACACAGTTGCCAGCATAGTCAAAACTCGGCTAGGAGACTGGTGGAAATACAGACAGGTTAACATTGTGAAAAAAAGAAAATACAACCTAACTGGGCCCTTCACTCCAGAAGGGATCCCTATCATAAGGGGGCACTATGAGTCTAAAATTCCAGTCTAAAATGTAACAAGTCCTAGTTTAAGAAGCAATAATGTTCCATGAGGTTCTTTGTCATTTTATACTAAACACAAACATGAGTCTACTGTTATCATTGTACCTCTTTAATCTACTCTAAGAATGTCTTAAGATACAACTCATGATTTTTTTCCTGCAGGGAGGAAAATCTTAATCAAATGCCCTAGGTACTTAGCAATATGTGTTGTTTAATGTTTTACTTGACAGCTATCACTTGGTGTCATCAACAGCAGCTTGAGTCTGTTGCATCCATTTCTTCTCATTCACACTCTTTCTTTTCCACTTGAGTGAGGCCACCAAACCCAATTCCTTTGGGACCGAAGTTTTTCGCATAGCAAACTGCAAAAGAAGGAGTGGGAGGTAAATGGTGCTCTGAAGGCTCTCAGAGGTAAATGTCTTTTTGGTTTTCATTTTTAAATTACTATCAAATTTAAGTTGATAAAAAGGAAGGAAATCTGAAATAGTGTATTTCCTGTAAGTTTATCCAGGTCTTAATAGTGAGGCTGGTATTACAATTTGAATGTAAGAACACAGAAGTTGCATCTGCTGATCTCAAAGAAAGTTAAGAAGTTATCTGTTTTTTCAGATCTAAGTAATAGTTTCATTAAAGCTACTTTCCTATCTGAAAATGCTTAGTAAAACTTGGTCTGATGAGTAATACAAAGTAAGCCAGAGATTTTTAAGAAGCACTGGAGCAGAATCCAGAAGCTATTGATGGGCATTTAAGTAATTCCATTTGAACTCTGCATTGGTTAATGTGTGCACAGTTGTTTATCAGAACTCTGCTAGGTGGTGATGGTGAGCATATTTCTCCAAATATGCCAATTTGATCCACTTGTGGTTGACAGACTGTACCCAAAGTCACAGAACTCCAGTATTCTTCTTTAGGGTTCTCTGTAAAGTTTAGCTTTGTATATAAAAGCTTCACATACTTTTTTTACCCTAAAGCTGTTTCTAGGAGTCAAGTGAATTCTGTGAACTTTGTGAATCTGAGAACATCATCAAGATGTGTAATTTACCATTTTTGCATTATCTTTTGTGCCACCAATGCAGTGGAAATATCTTTAAAACTTTACTGGTAAGAATTCTGGTTTGGAGGACAAAAGATTTGTATCTTTGTGGATTTTTTATTTTACTGAGTAAGACTGTGTAGGTACAAGAGCCTGCCCAGCAGATATGGCCAGTGCTCTGTTAGAAGGTCTGACAGATTTGAGAGGTTATGCCATCTGTAGAAAAATTATAGCTTTAAAATTTAAATGTTAATAGTAGAAGCTGCAACTGCAATGTTACCGTAGCTCTTTGCTTTCAGAAGGTTGTTAAAAAAAGACAAAAATGAAATTCCCTGGGGGTGTTAAGCATACAGCAAGGTAAATCACAATGGCAATCCTGAGTCTAAAGAGACTAACTTTAGATTGACTCTCACCTTTACAGTAGAGCTCTCCATCCTTGTCTGTGACGTTCGTGGATTCTAAACTCTTCCCACAAATGGCGCAGCGGAAGCAGGTCTTGTGCCAAGGCTGAGCAAGGGGAGACAATTCATTGTGTGGCACAGAAAGGGCACAGCCGGCAGGTACAAGAAACAAGTACTGCTTTGTGTGGTGTGGAAAGGTTAAAAACCAATTGTAGATCTTGTGGCTTCCATTTTTAGTCATTCTGGGTTAGCCTGTTTTCAGTTACGTTGTCTGATATATCTTCAATTGCCACTACACATAAATGTTTGTAAATATACCCAGAGATGGAGGAAGAGCCAGCTTGTACAGTAATCTGTGCTTGGTCCTCAGACATCAGTAAGAAGCAAGAAATTGAAAAATATTCACAAAAAGTACAAGATTTTAAACCTGTTGTAGCAATTTGCCCGTGTGTTTTCTTTATGAATGAAAATTTAAATTATCGAGGACCTTTAGCTATAGTTTTATAGGGTTTATTTTCCTAGTGCTGAAGTCACTACTTACTTTTCCTCCTCCCATGATCTTCTCTGCAGCATACACTGATTTGCCACAACGGGGACATTTATCCACATCTACCATCTTTTTGGCAAACTTTGAAGCATTAGTTGGTGTTGAGGGGCGAGCAGGCTTTGGTGACCCCCTAAAACAGAAGTTTTTAAAGCTGCTTAAAAATGTTGTCTTCTTTAGAAAAAGGATTTAATCATTTTTTTAGTAAGGCATAAAAGATACTAAATTGCTCGTCTCTGACATGCAAAAGGGGATAAAAAAAGAAGAAAATCAAAGTATTCTATTGAATTCTGTGTTGTATGATTGAGAAGCTGGTACTGTAAGCTCTGATATTACCTGTTCTGGGATAAAACATATAAAATTGGCAGCAGTGCACAAAAGATTATATTTAATGAAAACTGAAGTAAAAACCAATTTTCTCTCATTGAGAGGAAATAGGGAAAATAAAAGGAAAAGATGTCTCTAGTCTTTGTAACTTGTTATCTGCTGGTACTCATGAAACTAAAAATAAAAATTCAGGTTTTGCATGCCATATTTTTATTAGGCAGTGAAACATTTGGACAGGGAATTGGGGTTCTTACCTGGCCTGGGGTCAAAAGAACATCAGAAAAGAAGTTTTGTTTTTTGTTTCTGGTCTTTGTGCTTTAAATCTTTGTGCATAAAGCCTTTCACAGAATGGTTTCTGAATTATCAGATAGTTGGACTGAAACAGTTCGTTTTATGCACAGGATGCAACAGTTCTGGGTGCAGAGCTCTGCCCGTAATGGATTTGTATGGCACAAGGAGCTACAGTTAAATACATTGTTTAAGCTTTTATTTCCTGCACAGCATATTGGTTAATTGGTTTCTTTATAGCAGACCACCAGAGGGAAGAAGAAGCATTGTTGATGTAGAATTGTGCAACTTTGAGAGTTGCAGGAAAATCCTATAAAAATGAACTGTCAGAGCTAATTATGTGCTTTTGGAAGATGGTATCCCACTAGAATTTTTTTTTTTTTTTGTTCAAACACATTCTCAGTGTGTTTGTAAGTGTTATTAGAACCACAGGGAGGATAATGTTATTTCCCCCATGGAGAAATGTTAGAAATGTTATTTCCCCCATTGAGAGGAGTGCTAACAGTATGGGGTAGTGTGATTATTTCTCTAAGAGTAAAACGTTAACTATATTTTAGCCTCTAACAGGAAAAAGAAAAAATCTTTTTCTATGGTCAATGTGACTTTACCACTATGCTACAAATGGCAGATTGCAATTGCAGTGAATATTTACATGTGTGGTGGCATATAAAGGCTGCTTCTACAGAATGATTACCTATTGAAGGAGGGTATAATTTGTAAAGGAGATTTAAAGAGACTGAGCATCATTAAAAACTGTAAATTACAGTGTCTGTGGAAGGAAAGGGTGTAGGAAAGTCTGCTCTGCTCCTTATGCTGGATGTTGTTATGGAAACAGAATGCAATATATAAAACACCCTGGTAAGAGACAAGTAGGATCAGCAAAAGGAGCTGTCCCTTGGTTTGACTCACTGCTGCAGGTTCAGGCCCAGGTGGTCTCCGGTGTCAGTGCTGAGGCATCCAGCCCCTTGGCCAAAGCCAACCCCTTTGGGGCCGTATTTTCTCCCATAACAGGTTTTGCAGTAGATTTCAGATTCGTGAGCTGCTACTGTAGTGCTGTCCAGAGCCTTCCTGCAAGCCACTGAAAACAGGGAGAGAAAGGCACATGTCAGCATTTGCTTTTGCAAATTGGAATTTATGTGGTTTAAAATAATTGCAATTAGTATTTCTTTTGGTTTAGATTTTAAAATGTGGGGAAAGGAGCCAGTCAGTATAAAACTTGTCAGTATAAAGCTGAGCTGTTGCTGAAGTAAGGGGGAGGTATGTGTGTGTGCACATAACCTGTTGTTCTTTTGCCCCTCTGAAGTTACCCTGCAACCCCAGGGAAATCTAGATCTGTGAAGCTTAAGATGGGCTTGAGATTGAAATTGGCCATCCTGAACTCCCAAACCTTAAAAAAGGGGGCAAAGAAGGTTGCAGGGACATTGATCTGGCCCTTTCAGAATACTTGCTCTGAGTCTGTGGTGGCTTTCTCAGCCCAGCCCAGGCTGTTTTGACATGGTGTGTTTCTGAGAGAGGGTTTAACATCGACTCCTGTCTGGAGTCAGACAGGACATGTTGGGGTTTTTTATCATTATTTGTTTGTTGGAGCTGTGGCACCGAGGCAAAGCAAGTGTCAGCTCTGTCAGACTTCCTCCAGGATGACAGGAGTGTGGCTGTAGCTATTCCCAAACAGTGCTCTTACAAATCATCCTTGGTACAGAGAATGACAGCTTAGCTTAGCTCACTAAGAAAGGCCTGGCAGACTTTTGCACAGAAGGTGTCATAGGAATGCCCAGCTTTCATCAGGGAACACAAATACAAATTACAAATTGTGTCCTCTAATAATGAATGGGGGGAAAAATACAGTAGCTACACTCCTCACTACTTAGTGAGGAGTGTGTGCCTGTGTTTGCTGCACCACTTGGGCAACTCAGTGTGAGACAGCCTCCACTCCACAGAGAGAGGAAGATGTTTCAATTCAGAGTCTCTCTTGAAAACCAGGATTTTCCAGTATGCTAAAAAATTACTATTTCAGTACTTCTCACAAACTGTTCACTGTTCAGCAGTGGTTGATTAGAAGTGGGGGAAAAATAGGCAAGAACTTTCTCTCCAGGTTCCTTAGAACAAATGCTTACCCTGCAGAAGGCATTCCTGTCATGAGCTATTGGTAGCCTGGAAAACCAAGTTGCTGAGTTCACGTTTGCAACAGAAAGCTGTGAGATACAGAAGTATTGAAAGTGGCCTGAAGTGCAAGCTCTGGGGGAGCTACCTGAGGGGTTGATTAGCCCCTTTCCCCCATGTTTACTTTAAATGTCCTCCTCTGAATCCAATTTATCCACCACAGGGAATTTACACCCTGGAACCTCTGCAGCTTTAATTGTAGACTCCTAGAATGATTTGGGTTGGAAGGTGCTTAAAAGATCATGCAGTTCCAAGCCCCAGACCAGGTTGCTGTTAAGGGACAGTATGACTAGTTATACATCCCCAGCTCTCTGGTTATCTTTGTGGCTTTCCTCCTCCTTATATTGCATGGAGGGAGAAATAATTTGCAAAGACCTTTATAGTTGACAGAAGTAAAATGAGGCACTTCTGTACTACACTCTTGCTTTGAGATGGTAATTGTATTTGCTAAGGGAGTGAAGGGATGATGGAAACTCTAGCAGTAGATAGTGTTTCTATTTCTGGTACCTCAGGGAGAGGGTATCAATTCACCACGACAGATGGAGCAAAAGCTCTTGAAGTGCTATTGTTGAAATAACTTTGAGACCTGTCATCTGCCAGCAGATCCTGTTCTCCCGCCCGCGCTGAGGAGATCCAGCTTGATGGCGTGAGATCCTGCCAAATGTCCCCCACAGCTGCACTTGGGGTAAAAGCTGTCAGTGAAACATCAATCTGCAGGTAAACAGGAGTCTGCACGGGAAGGAGGGACTGCTGGAAACAAATTTCTCTCTTGCAATACTTGTAGGGAAAAACTATGGAGAGGAGAGTGTTATAAATAATTTAGCTTGTCTGATTCTTCCTGTGTTAACAGGTTACTTTGAGTAGTTTATAATTCTGCTGAAATTGAACTCTTTGGTCAAAAAATACTGATGCGCTTTGTGTACCTGGTCAAATACAATATGAAATAGAGGATATATTTGAAATAGTTTTATATAGAAATATACAAAAGTACAGCTAAACTGTTTCCATGCCTGAGTTTAGGCTGGGGAGAATTGGTTTCCTTCTGTTGAGAAATGAAATCCTATAAATGGTTCATAGAAAAGCCCATGAATGTGATACATGATCCTGAGGCATCCAGAGCTACTGAATAGTGTATATGAATCATAGGGGAAAGTAAAGCCAATTAACATACCTTTTATATGCCAGCTGGGCAATTTAGATGCATCTTCAGGTTTTGACCTTAAACATATTTCTGATGGGAATACTATTTTAAGTGTCTAACCTATTAATAATTAATTCAGACTTAAAATAAGGGGCAAATAAAGGAACATTAAAAAAACCAACCAACCAACCAAACAAACAAACAAAAAAAAACCCCAAACAAAATACACACCACAACCAACCAAGAAAAGCACCACAACAAACCAAATATTTGATAGAGCTAATGAATGTAAGTTGTTTATCATGAATCACTAAAAGAAAATAATTCAGTTGTACTAAGAATGAAGACGACACTTGAGAAATATTCATAACTATGCTCTATTAGGACAGATCTTTACTTTTATTTACTATTTATTGTTATAGGCAGAACATGGAAGCATTAAGAAGGTTTTAGTTGAGACTGAGCTTTTCCTTTTACCATTCTGTAAGAATTGGCTGAAGGTTGTCAGTTAACTGAAAATTTTTTGAGGGAATGCTTTCTTACTTGGCCTTTTAGGCATCACTAAAGGCATCATTTGGACTTTCAGGCATCACTTTTAGGGCACCTGGAGAAAGGCAAAGGCAGCTCAGGTGTGTCCTTTGGTCTCATCCTGCAAAGAGCTGCTCTGTATCAGCTAAGCATGTAAAATTAGTCTGATGCCTCCAAATAAGAAGTGTCTGTCCCTCCAGAAAGGGAGGGAGAAAATTGGATTCAGTGGCTCCTAACCTGTCCTGCTGGGAGTCGTACTGCAAAGGTACCAATCCCAGGTATTGTCTGCAAGATAAACTTTTCAGCTGTCTTTAGTTCTTAGTAAATTGTTTGCCCTCTCCCTCTCCACAAAGGGCAAACAGAGCTGAATTGGTACCTTCTCTCTGAAATGATTTGTTTTTACAAATTTCTGCCTCTTCTGCAGAGAAAGCAAAATTCCTGGAAGCCAAACATCACAGAGGAGTGTGGAGGGGAAGAGTAAGTGAAATGGGACTACATGAAACAGGGGAAGGAGGATGAGGTACGTGCAGAGTGTTGGTGGGAGGTTTTGATGACACCAGGGTCCTTCAGCTTTTTGGTGTGAAACAAATTAATGTCAGGATTCACTGTGAAAGTAATCATCTCCTAAAGGTAAAGAAGTAATCATCCTTCTGTCTGATGAGTGCTGTTTGTTTAGTTCTGCTGGGCTTTTTAACCCAAAGCAAACCCACACTGTGGGACAGAAGGAAGGGTGTCCTGGAGATGGGCTTAGATACTGTGATTCTGCAGCACCTTCATGTCCATGACAAAATCCTCTCATGTTTGGACAAAGAAAAGCCAGGAGCCCAAGAGGCAGATTGCTCCAGCTAAAAGTCAGCAAAACTACCTGCCAAGTAATACAAAAATAAATGTTCTGTCTTTAATGGAAGAGTTACACAGAGCTATGGGGGTGTTGTGATGTGAAACCATTCAGCCCAGCTTACTGCAGAGGAAGCATGACTTGTGGAAGCTCCTTCCATTGCACTGGATTTCCTCAGCATGGTACACTGTCTTTTCACAGGCCCCACACTTGGCTCCTCCGCCCCAGTTCGGCATCCTGAGCTGAAGGGTTAACCTAGGAAATCAAATTACAGAAACAAATGCAACAGCAAATGTGAATTCTTTTAAATGGAACAGCTTGACTTTAAAAAAAAAAATTATTTTCTTCCTTCTCCAGTCAACTCCTACTGCATACTTGCAATATACTTGATACCTGTGTGGTAGCAGAAGTGAGGGTGCTACCTTGGTGCTTTGGGGACAGGGACAGTCTAAATCCCTGTAAATCCCTCTCGTAAAAAAGGATATTTCTTAGCTTGGTACATTGTGATGGTAAATATGTGGAATGAATATGTAAATATAATATGCAATTCCACATAAATATGTAAATATGTGGAATTGCAAGGTGTTTCAGTGAAAAGGTGCTAGGATCTCTCAACCCTCTTCTGGAAAAGAGGATCTAGGGTTTGTTTTCCATCAAATAGTCATTTTCTTTCAACATTGCCCTTTCCTGTACTCCAACATAACCTTTTCTGAGTTCCTCATGAAACAGCCACAAGATCTCTGTGCTGCACAGCCATTGTAAAGTAATAATGGACAGGATCCTGAGGTGCTTAAGGTGTGGGTTTTTTTCTTTGTCAATTGCATTTAAAATCTAAACAGAGAAAAAAAGAGCCATGGTTTTCTGTTCCAGTTCTTGCTATTCCAGTTAGCACTGGAGTGCCTTGCCAAGGTCACACAGGAGGGCAGGAACCCAGCCCAGGTCTCCTGATGTCAGGCTGAGTGCTTTTCCTTGTGATTGTGCTGTCACACACCTGGAACAACCCCAGCCCCCAGGCTGCCCTTCTGTTTTCTTGTTTGAGTCATCGTTTCTGGAAAGACTGGGACGTCATCTTGTCATCTGCACACCAAATTATCAGGGTATTCCAAGCTCCTGGCACGGGCCTTCCTCCTCCTTCTTGGAAAACCAGTCACCTTCTTATTATAGTTATTTTGAAGCCTGCTTGTGCTATTTGTGTTTGATTAAATTCACCAAAAGGTAACTAAGAGGAGGATTTTGAAGGCTGAATCAGGCCTGCTACCTGAGAATTTTCTTCTGAGGTCAGGTGATAGAGAGAGGGGAATTTATCGCAGCAGTAATGTAACAGAGCTGATATCTTCAAATAGTTGCATTTTAGAGTAACATTTTACTATATATTTACATTGGATTAATGTCCTGTGCTTATCATCATCTCAGTGACTTCTGCACTTCTGAATTTCAGAATGAAATGAGCAATGTCTACATGCCAGCTCTGCACCCTGAGGGGAATCCTTTCTGACAGCTAAGACCAAAAATCCTGCAGTGGCATGAAAGAGTTGTCTGTCCAGCAAAAGGAAGGGACACACACTGAAACAATAGCACTGGAGACATGGCAATGGGGGCAGGTGTTGCAGTCTGTGTTTGATAACTGTGCAGATACCAGCACACCCAAACATCTCTGCCTCACCACAGCAGTTATTAGCATATCCTTAGCCCTGTGTCATTAAACAGTCACTGTTGTGACTGCTACCTTCACTAGATAGTGTGCCTGTCATCCTCGTGCAAGGTCCAGCCTCTCCTCCTCGTTGTGAGGCTGATTTCTGCTCAGCTGGACACCCTCCCCAGCTCAGCCAGCCCAGCCTCAGCCTTCTGCTGTCACACAGCAGCAGCAGCAGCATGAATCTCTTCCAGACCCTCCCAGCTCTCTTGGGAGGCTGCTCAGGAGCAGAACTGCTCTGGCAGTTCCAAAACAGTAATAGTGCAGAAAAGGAAATGAAAACTCAGCTTTCTTCTGTTTATCTGTAATGTAACAATTGAGAAGCAAAAAACCCGATGTAGCTGAAATAAGGAACAAAACTAACTGGGCACAATGAACAGATGATGAATTTGATCTTTCTCACTCAAGTGAAGCCTTTACTGAACAGCACTGTTAAATTGGTTTTTCAATTTCTTTTAAATGTGAGATAAAGGAATCTTTCAAGTAGTTAAAATCTTATTCTACTCTACCATTCTATATTTTCTTCTGTTTTTAAAGCAGTTTTGTATTGGTGCCATTTTTTTCTTTCTCTTATGAAAACAGTTCAAATGATGCTTCAAACATTTTGAAAGAAGGAAGAGCAACTGTGGATAAAAAACAGTTTTGTGACACTTCCTTGAAACTTAAAATGAGATTTTTGTGTCTACAGTGTTCGCTTTCAAATCAGGTTTCCAGTGGAATCCCTTCCCAGCTGAGGCAGCACTGACAGCTGGCTGGGAGGAGAGTGGTTTGTACCTCTGGTCTCTGTAAAGCTGCTTTCCTCTCTCTTCTGTCTCCCCAAAGGCACACCAAGCCTCCAAAACTGTGGCAGCAAGGATGGTTGTTGGAAAGTAACTCCAATTACATCATCAGCTGAAGGGGAAAAAATAATCTCTGAAAAAGTCTGATAAAGTGTGATAGTGAACCTGGTGCTGTCAAGAGCTGTGGTTAAAGCTCTTAGAAGGATCATGGTTCCTGAGGCTAATTATAGTAACATGACTGGGCATGCATACACATTTTCCATGTTTTTTTGGCATCACCTGATGGGAAGCTGTAGGAGAAAGAAGAAAGGCATGGCAGAAATATTTCTGTAAGGATGCTGGTGTAAGAACAGCAGTGCATCCATGATGTCTGTGCTGGCTGGAGGAACAGCTGGGTGAGGGACCAGGGCACATCCGTGCTTTTCCTGTCCAGCCTTTGCTCATCCCTCTGGAGCTGACTGGCCACCCCTGGGGATGCTGCCTGTGCAGCAGGGTCACCATGAGAAGGTAATCTCCACAGAGGGTGTGGCACTCACAGTTTTGTACTCATCTAAATTATACAGTGGGTAAAGTTCCATCCTTTCAATAGAAATAGAACTCAGTCTCCCATTAGTCACCAGAAAAAAATAGATCCAAAGTCTCCACTTCCCATAATTTCATTGGGTGTCAGTGTCTAAACCCCCATGAAATGCCCTGAACTTTGTTGTCTTAATCTGGTTAGCTTTTCATATCTGCTCATCACATGGTACTTGTTATATTCTGGTGATCAGGTGGGAAGTAGAACACACTGATCCTAAAGGTAAGAAATGTGTGGCACAGAAACTTCTGAGTGTTAGTTGTGATGTGTGGGCACTCAGGGTGCTGTTAAGCTGGAGGAGTGTTCTTGGGCTTGCTCAAATGCTGTTCAGCAGCTTGTGTCATTCTTCAGAATGTAGCTTCTATATGGAGCAGAATTTATACATCAGATGTGCAGCCAAGGATTCATGCCTCCCATTTCTTAGAGCTTGTATCACTGCTTTGTAGGCTGGCCTTGGAGCAAGGAAGCCTTTGAAGTGTTGGTATGCTCTGCACAGTTGTGAGCTGTCTTCTTCTGGGCTGTTAGTCATACTGTCCAAATCTGGGTGTCACATCACTGCCACAGAGGGCCTCTCTCTAATCAAAGTGCCTTTGATAAGGATAAAATCCAAAATTGTATTTTGATCCATTGATCTAAATGGGTGGTGGATGTAGTGCGGGCCTGATGAAATGTGGAGGAGTAAAAGGCAGTGCTAATGCCTGACTGTGCTGCAGGTGAAAAATGTAATTAATTAATGGATTAATTGAAATTAATTCTGGTGCTTCCTTGCTAAACACAAGGTTTTCCCTTTTATTGCTCGTGCATTTGACAGTCTAGAGCTCAGGTCTTATCTGAATGGACTGCAGAGTTGTGTTTTGTGTGACTGGCAGGGTTATCTCCTTGCCACATGTGCTGCAGGATGGCTGTGAAGGGGATAAACAGAATGGGGAATGTTGGTCTTTGTGACCACTGGCAGTAGAAGTGGGGAGCAGTGGGCAGGGTGTGCCTTGCATCTCTCTGTGTTTTAGTCCCAGCTAAGCTGCTTGGTCCAGACTCAGAGGATAAGAAAACTCATTCCTTGATTCCTTACCTAACACACAAGCAATAAAAATACAAAACTCACACATCGCTGTCTACACTGAAATGCAAAGTATCAAGGCCATGTTTGAAACTGGTTTCCCAGCTGAAGTCTGTGGGAATGCCAGTGCAGCCAGAACTTCACTCTGGTATCTAATCACAGCTCTGCTGTGACCTGTCCTGTGACCACCATGACTCATTTGACCGTCCCTAGTGGTACTCACCCCACCAGCACCGTGGGGATAACAAGATATGTCTTCCTTTATATAATAGCAATAAAATGCTGCTGTGGTTTTTCTCTGCAGCTGACACTCACGGTGAGGTTTTCTTTTGATGTGTCTGTATTTGAGATGCCACTGCATCTCGAACAGCCTGGAGGTGTTTCTGTCAAAATCCAGCCCCTTGTGGAACATGCTTCTCCCTCAGCACGAGAGATTCACAACAGGGGGGAAGGCTTGTGTTTGAAGCCTGAGCTCATTTGATGGAGATGTGATCTTGTTATGTATTTGTAATCATATTTCTGATATTCCAATGCATTCACGGGCTGTGGCTACAGGTAAATCTTATTAGTCAGTGTCATACATTGAGCTTCCACCACAATCTCATAATAACCAGCATTTTCCCTTTACATCTGCAGTAAGCAGTACAGAGAGGTCAAGGTATGGGAATTCCAACACTGGAAAGTAAATATTGATTTTTTTTCGTTGACACTGGTCATGCTAAGTTACATGTGGCACTTTGAAACAAAAGATTTTAACTGACTTGATGTGAAGCACACGTTCATGGCTGAGAGCTGATAGTGCCCCATTCCCTTGCTTTCATCTCTGTTCTTCCACTTTTTCTATTATTTTCTAGCCTAGTGATGCCACATTTCCTTTGAAACTTCTTCGATGCACACTTTTGCAGAAATTTAAGATTGCACCTCCAAAAAATACGGTATCTGACACTAGACCAAGGTACTTCATTCTGACTTAGAAACCAGCCACACCCCACATTCACATGCTTGTACATTAACACTCATGGTTCAGTCTGATCCATGTGGCTGTGGAAAGCTGCATCCTGCTGTACAAGTGACACATTCAATTTTCCAGGCCTAATCCTGGGCTATCAGCTTTCACTATTCCTTCCACAAGATCCTTCTCTAAATGCTTATCCCTGCACTAAGTTCTTTAAGTGCCAGGCAAAACTGTTACAGACTTTAAAATAGCAGTGTGATGACTGAGATAAGACACAGAATTATTTTATCTATGTGCAGGGCTTTATTCTCTGAAATACTTTCACCTTTAGGCAGAAAACTTTTCATAGTAAAAACACATATGTATTTATTTATTTATTTATTTGAATTTTGGCTTTTTTTTTCCTGAAGATTTGACCAATCATGCTCTCTTAGAATGCTTGAGTGATGGATTTGGGAATAATTCTTTCATCCTGCATTCTTAGCTAGCCATTTCTTGTCAGGTCTGCACAGAAGTTTTCTTCTTATTTGTCATGAAACCAATTGGTCACCAACATTAAATATGTTGAAGATTTTGGGGGATTTGTTTTGGTTTTTTTTACTTCTAGGATACCATTATGGAAGCACACAAATGTGTATGCTGCGTACGTGCGCTTTCTAAAAACCGACTGTTTGCCACAGACAAATAATTCTGTAGCTTTGTAAGAAAATATTCAAACATTCTGAAGCTTCTGGTACCCAGTCTTGCCTAGTCCAAACGAGTGTCTCTAATGAGGATCCCCCCAGCCCTGCTCTTGCAGCACCTGTAGCTGCTCTCCTGGCTGAGCCAGAAGAGTCTCTCCTTCTACTGGCTACTCCAAACATAAGACACTGCTCTGTAGGACTCATATTTCTGTACTACACCTACAGAAGTGGTTTTCTTTGTCAGGCAACAAATTGCTTCTGTTAGGAATAAAAAAATACCCAAACCCTTTTTGGCAGAACCCGTGGGACTCTACTCACCGGAGCCGCTTGAATTTTCTCCTTCTTTTCTTGGGTCTCAAAGGGTTTGAACAGGAGGGGTTCCTGCTCTCTTTAAATGCAGTGACCACTTCTGCCAGCCCTATAAGCTGGGAGGGGAGGGGAGTGAGAGTTTCAGGGATCTGAGCAATGCCATTGCTATCACCAAGCTGAAAATAGCCTCTGACAAAAGCCTGGCATTTTGTTCCCTTATGTCTGCTTGTGAGTAGGTGGACAACAATGCAGCCCCTCGGGTTACACCTAAAGGACATTCCTGACTGCAGCCTAACAAATCAGAAATAAAGATTAAAGTTTTATAGTTGCTCTAAATGTGAATCATAAAACAACAGCTCTTGAAATGGCGATCTTGTTATTAATGGTCACGTGTCCAAAAGTAATTTACCAAAATAATTGTTAAAAATAATAATACTTGTATGTAGCCCCTCCAGGAAAACAACAGTTTTAAACTAAGTAGCATTTCATTCTACAGTTCATGGTTTGAGAGATACTAATGGTTTGCCTTCTAGGATACAGGGGATTATGCTTTTACCTAAATCTTTCATTTCTTACTGGTTTTAGGCATGAAGGTGGGTAGATAATATGTATAATATTTAGCCTGTGTAATTATTGCAGTTATCTTTGCCACACCTGACTGAGCCCTTTGGTAATGGATGAGGCTGCAGATGTGTGAGGTGTGGGCAGTAAAGGAAGAACTTTTTTACAGGGCTTTATTTTAAGAGCCCTGTAAAAAAGGTTTAGAAGCTAATTCTAAACCTCTAATTTTGAGGTTTAGAAGCTAATTCTCATTTTTCTGAGCAGATGCCTGAATTTAGCAACTTTGTTCAGGATCATGGACTCTGCTGTGTATGAAAGGGCCCATCCCAGGGGTTAAACACCAGAACTCTCAAGCTGAAAGTCTCAACTTGGGGACTTTCATGGAAGCATAAGAAAATCAGATGCCAAATCCACGTCAGACTTTAGAATTTAGGGGTCTGTTAGCTGAGGCTGCTGAGAAAACTCTTAGGAAGTTATAAATCTCTTTGCTGTTGAGTCTGGCACAGGTTTTATAACGCAGAGACTGGTCCTTGGTGTAAAATGGAAGGACTATTTCTTTCCTGAGCAGAGGAGCTGAACTCCATCTCTTCTGGGTGGTTCTCCCCAGATAGTTAATGGAACTATTCTATATCAGATAAAGCCCAGTGCAGAGGGGACAGTGCAGTGTGGGGTATGAGGGTTCCTTGTAAGAGGGCAGCAAGGAGGAGTTGGGGCAGGCCTGAACTCCCTCTTGGAATACATGGGAAGCACTGAGAAGCTTCTTAAATCTTTGTGTTTGTGCCCTTGGGGCCTTACATTAGGTCCCCTGACATTTGAGAGGGATGAACCTTCTGTAATGTTCACTCTTATTCTATAGATTATGTACTTGGATCTATGGATTTACACCATATCCAACTGCAGGGAACTCTGTGAAGAAAGCTTTTGTCCCAAAATGTAAGTATTTTCCCTTTGGTTTTGGCAGAGGATTGAAGGGAAAAATGCAGGCGATGAACTTTTAATTTTCCTGGTGTTGGGTGCTGCCTGACTTCTGTGCTGCTGTGTAATTTCTGTGGGCCCTGTAAGGATTGTAATTCCTGTAATTTCTGTGTGCCCCTGTAAGGATTGCTGAAAGGCTCTTTACAGCTCCAAGGAACAGCTGGATCTACACAGGTTCCTTGGGATTACCTATCATTCCAGGTCACCTGTGGTTAGCAGTACCTGGGCTTGGAAGAAAAGACTCAAAATATGGAACTGGAATTGCATATGCATGAGCTGGAGTGAGAAAGTAGTTTTCTATAGATCAGTGGAAGGGATTAAAAAGCCCTGCCCTGAGAGCTGGAGCACAGCAATTGCAAAGCAAACCAGCCTGGGGCTCAGAGGGGCTTCCCCAGAGCACATCAGGCACTCAGGGCACGTTCCAGGGGAGGGGAGGCAAGGTGGCAAGAGCAGTGAGCTGGGCTGCCAGACACAAATGCAGGTCTGCTGGGGCAGGAGACCCTTGGAGCTGAGAAAGCAGCAGCTTTTCAGCCTGCAAAACCAGCACACAGGAAGAAAAGTGCTGGTGAAAAAGCAACTGCAGTGTGTCAGGAGCCAAGGGACACTGGGCAGAAAGTCAGCAAACATGCTCAGCTTTCCAAAATATGCTCAGCTTTCTCAGCACCATGTGTGACAAGACCTAAATACTGTAGTTTCTTAGTCTGTCAGCTGTGGTGCTCAGAAATAAAAGGGGTGGTTTGTTTCTTCTGAGTAAAGCAAGTTTCTAAAACCTTTACCTTTGTATTTCCAGAATGAAGTTGAGAGCAGGGGTAAGGAAGATCAGTTATCGTGTTGGAAAAGAAAAATCTACTCAGTGCTCTAGTGAGAATTCTTCCCTCTTCCAGCTTTTATTCTTCTTTCCCCCTCATTTAGGAATATTTCAATAGTGAAATATTCTGTCAGGTGTATTTTGTATTAGAACTTTGCATTATTAAAGAGCAGATGAGTTTGGTTTTTTTTGTTTTACTGTGGTAGCTGTTTTAATATTTTTTTTGTGCAGTCCAAGCCTGAATCGTGGGCTTTGCTGCCATTTCTTCTATCCCAGGTTGGTGTACCAGGTACATTTCACCTGGGAAGGCAGATAAACTGTATTTTTATTCAATTTGTCAGCTATTACTTGTTATCTGAGTATGAACTGTATGAAGAGTCATCTTTTTCTTTCAGTGTATGAGAGACACTGCTGACCATATTTAAATTCAAGTGGTTTGATTGAGCCTGTTTAAAACTTCTGTGACATTTGGACACACGTTCCTGTGCGACTGACTTGATGTTCTGAGTTACTGTTTTTAGGAGTTGTAATATCTACTGATAAGAGTTCAGAAGTCACATTCAGTTACTTAATTCACTTTTTCACAAAACACCATTCCCCCCTTCCTTCAAAACACAGCAACCCCTGCCTGACAAAAAAAGAATTGAGAGATGCCAGTGAATATGCAATATATGCATATGCAATGTGTAACTTAGGTAATCTAATCTGATCAAACAGAAAAAGTCACTGTAGAGTTTTATGTAAGTTTAATCTGAACAAATCAATTTAAAAATACAGTATAAATAATTCTTAACTTATATAAAAATGATTAAGAAAATTTGGGAGTTTTTTTTTTTGTGCTTCTTACTAACTTTACAAAAGAGCATTATTAAACACAGAAGCAAAACATTTTACCTGTGGCCTTTTTGCTAAGACATAAAATATTTACACACTCACAGTACTTTTTTTTTTTTTGGTGCAAAATATGTACTGACTGATAGACTGTACCTTTCTGTACAAAGACAATTTCAGCTTACTTTGCATAGAAGAAATCAACACACACTCACAAAAAACCCCATTAGATACATAACTTTGCTGTTAAAATACTTCAGGTAAGCCTTTTGGAAAAATTCATTAGGCATTAACTTTCTCCTTAAGAGTCAGTTTTATTTTCTAAAGCATCAATTAAGGCTATTCCAGCATTGAGGTCATGGCAATACATGTCCAAACCATTGTCCATCATACAATGCCAGATGTGTGCAGTGTGTTACCAGCAATTTTGCCTGCTAACACAATCAGAAATTCCCTATCCCAAAATTAGTCTTCTGAAACTTCAAGTTTTCGTTGAGGAATATATAAAGTTCCTTGAGAGGTTCTCTGGGTACCATCTGAGTTTGCAGATAGTGCAGGTTCTGTGTTTGGCCCTCCTGGTGTGCGGAAAAAGTTCTCTGTAACTGCCTGAGGCTCCTGAGGTTCCTTTGGCTGAAGGAACTGAAGAGAAAAGACAAAGTTACTTTCATTTGTGGGGGAATAAAAAGTAAATTTTACTACTTCTAAATTTCTGCAGGATGTTAGCAAACTTTTTTTTTCCCTTGAAATTTAAAAACTGAGCGTTTTACTGAGAAGGATATACCTGCATTCCTTTATATATATATAATCACATAAAAATAATTTTTCTAATCCCCTTCTTTTTTAAGACAAACAGATATTAGGCAATACAGTATTACATAAAATACACAGAGAAACTTCCTGGGGGGGGGAATATTTACAATCCTGTACAGTCCTATCCCATTAAAAGAATTAGCTATTATGAAACACAAGAACTTGAGGGTAGAGTAGGGAAGTAACAAGAAGGAAAGAAAATAACAAAGGAACAATTTTTTAATAAGCACAATAGCAGTTTGTGATTATTAAAATATCTCTCAGATATGTAAAATCCTCCTTCTAAAACAGTTGTTTCTTCACATCTTGTCATCTTCCAGCTGGCTCCACTTCCACCACAAATAAGTCATTTATCTTCCTTGCTAACCTCTCATTTCTACTGTACTTAGGCTGGCCTTCACTGCTAGCTCTTTTTGGGCAGTGCTGATTTCTAAAGATCAAAAAGAAATGTTTATTTATAAATTTTACCTGCTGTAAGGGAATTACTGCACTGCACTTCCCACTCAACCCACCATGGTGGAGTTGCAATGCTTTAACTCACCTTCCCTTCTTGCACATTTGTGCTCCCTGAGCTATGGCTGATATTTTCTGATTGGGAAGAGACTGGCACGTGCTGTAGAGGAGGATTTGCAGGAACTTGCACACCAGCAGGTATTAGTCCTATGTGTTGCAGCATAAAGTTGAGAGCTGAAGAGCTTGGGTTTGGGGCAGAGCTGGTACTGCTCGAATTGAGGCAGGAGTTGCTCAGTACAGGTGCAGCAGCTATGGAATTTGGAGACAGCATTATGTTCAAGGGTGTTATATGAAAAGCAGGAATATTGACTGTCTTCAGTTCTGAGGCTGGCATTGGAATGACACCTGGAACAGAAACATCAAGTGTTGAAAGGAACCAGGACAAGCTGGCCCTGGCCCCTTGAGCTGGCCCCCTGTGCCTGCCTCCCTGAACACTCACCAGTGATGGGAGAGCTGTAGGCTGTGTGCTGCAGAGAACACACCCCAGCCTTCTCTTTTGTGGAGCACTCTGCCTTGTTGCCATGGGTGCAGTGAGTCAGAGGAATAAGATAACCAGATGGAAAAAAAGTCTGAGGAAGAAAGAGACAGCACACCTTTAGCCCAAACATGTCGTAAACAAACTCCAAAACTGCAACCCTCCCTTGCCTTGTTCTTATTCTTTATCCTCCATGTCCCCAGGATGCCATATCCCATGCCTGTACTACTCTCTGTCTGAAAAGAGACAACACACTCAAGGACATGCTCTTTCAATTAAAACCACTCAGAAGTCAGCAGGCTCCATTTCCAGCTGATACTCTTGGTGGGGAACTGGAATTCCACCTGGGATTAATACAGTGCAATTTGACCAGATGGAAAAGAAACCCTGATACTGAATGCTATTTTTCCAGAAGAAACATTCTGGACCCAGTAAATCATCACATCACCTCATTTTTGGATTGTATTTTTTGTAAAACAAATATTGGATGACAAAACTTTTACATTTACATATTCTGTTTTTGTCAACAGAACTGTTCAGGTTCTCTACAGCAATCAGTCTTAACTGCAGAGTACTGAATTTTACTGGTGAAGAGAGTTTCATGTGATTCTGTTTCAAAGCACTTGACACTAAGTATATGCAAAGAAAGGATGGGGGAGGTAAGGGATCTCAATATTGCCCTCAGCTCCTTAGTGTGACCTTCATTCCAATGGAAGCCTGAAAGCCTCTTTATGTCCTATCTTTTGTGTACTCAATGCAGAAACAGAAATCCTACATTCCCACAAAATAAGATTTTAACAGCACACCAAAATGAATTCAGCCAAAGACAACCTATGTAGGTGTAGTTCGTTGTGGATTTGTTTCTTTTGCAGAGACTCCAAGTAGTGTTTTCCCAGGGAATGGCAAGACAAATCTTACCTCAGGAGCAGGAATGGCAAATGCCACAGGTATGTCTTGTTTTGTTTTGATTTTATCTTCATCTTCTGGAGTATTTTCTTTTGTACATTGGTCACAGCAACTTGCAATGTTTTGATCTACTGTTTTGGTTTCATTCTGTCTCTCTTCCTGGACATTGTCTATTTCATGATTAGTTTGTGAGCTACTGGAAGGTGGTTTTTCATTCTTAGTGGATTCTCCCTTTGAAGAAAGCACATACAAAGAGAAAGGCAGGTGTTGTAAGGCTTAACAATGTCAATTAGAGCCCTACAATGATAGTTACATATTCTTAAAAACCAGAAAGAAAGCTTTTTACTTCCTCCTCATTCCCAAGTTTGTACTTTAAAAATTTCTGGTCACTAGGACAGCCAGGTCCATGTTATCACATCTTGTTTCTTCCCAGCTGGTGGATGTTGGATAGCATGTGCTGTCATAACACACCCATAACATATGATGACTGTTTCAGCAAGCTGAATTTACAGCAGATTTATAATTTACAGAGATGCTAAAACAATCAGCAACTGAGGAGTAGAAAGCAATCCAGCCCCAATCTCTCCATATACATCAAGTTTATCTGAACTTCTTATTCTCTTCATGTGCTGTTCTATTATGCCTACAACAAACCAGCACTGGGTGAGAATATTTAGAAGGCATCAGGATTTTGGGATGTTCCCTGTCCAGTGACTTTCATACATCCACTTTCCCTCCTAACACCTCTAAAGCCAAGAATGGATGCCAGCAAGTTTACAGAATCCTAGAATTCAAGGGACCTTGAAGATCTCTTGCTTCCAACCTTGCTCTCAACCTGTCCTACTCCAAAATCATGTATCAATAAGTAAGTTTGGACATAGTGTTTTGTGAGCTGCTTTATTTTCACTACACCTGTACACTTTGTCTTCTTAGATACAAACCCCAGCCCCCTCAAACATCAGCAGGCATAGCAAATGAAACACCATCTCTTCAAGCCTGATGTTATTTACAACGCCTACACTCACTGGCAGGCTCCTACATCACTTTGGAAATGAGTAGGTGGCAACATCACTAAGCCATAAAATGGCATTTTAAAACTAATTTAACTTACCAAAGAAGTATCAAGGCTTTCCTCATCACTTTTACGCCTTTTAATTAAATTACTCTCTGGTAGTGCTTGTGATCTTTTAAGGCATCGCTGAGATGAAGTTTCTGATTTCATTTCAGGTCTTTCTTCAGCTGCCAAGGATTTTGTAGGCTCATCCTGACCTCTCTGAGTGTCCCCTTCCTCAGTGGTTATTATATTTAATATTTTTGAATTATTACTCTTAATTCCAGTTACGTTGGCACACGGCAGAGGCTGCAACATGAAGCCTGGGCTGTAGGTTGTCACCGTGTGGGCTTGGGAAGGGTGCAGATAGATTGCATATGAAACCCCAGACTGAGGATGAGGTAGGATGACTGGTGACACAGAGCTGTGGCTTGCAGGGCACACCCCGAGGGGCTGGCTCAGAGCTGGCTGCTGAGAGGGCTCAGGCTTGGCGACAGCCTCAGGCGAGGACAGGGCACATTTCACTTGCATCTCTTCTGCTGTCCTTCAGCAAAAAACAAACAAAAAAATCCCAAATGTGTTTTAATTCCTTCATGCAGAAATGAATGTTCTGACAAATTATCTTCTGTAATATAAAGAGTTAACATAAACCTGTACTTCTCAATCCACTAAAGAGAAAACAAATGAAAAACTAGCCTGCAGCAGTACTCAAGGTTACTGGTTTTTGCAGGCTATTGCCCTACTCAAGCTGAGCATAACTTTAACTTGTTCTCACCTGTAAACTTGTGCAAACTTACTTGGATTGTCCTTCCAGCTGGTGCTTAGTGATTGCTGGAAACTGAGCTATTGTATTTGGGAAAACTGGTAAACTTTGATAAGTACCTGGTTGGAAGAGAAGAACAACAAATCAAAACAGTGAGTTCATCAATTCAAAGTAAAAATTTAACTTTAACTTGAGGAGGCTGCATTATGTAATGTAACATTTAATGAGATAACTTATCCTCAAACTCAGCACAGATTTGATTTGGTCTACTGGACATCAGCTTACATTAAACAAATTTTAAAGGCCCCAGAGAGGATCCCTAGCAAGAACATGAACATGGCCAGGTAATTTTCTGGCCATGTTTTGGAATACAGAACTGCTCAGATAGTATGATCCAAAGCAGAGTTTCTACAACAAAGCAGGTTCAGAGAAGATCCAATATTCAATGATTCTAGACAAACAGAAGGTTTGTAGCCATTCCTGCATTTTTGACAGCTCTTAAGATGAATTTTTTGAAAGGAGGCACCACCCACACATCTATGTGTCCTGTGAGAAGAGGGCAAGCCCAAATATTTAATGCAAGACTACATCTGACTTAAAAACAAAGAAAAAGAAGTTTCTAAAAGAAAAATGCTGAAAAGATACGTACTGGCACTTATTTTAACTGGGCTGGTTGGAGCAGACTGGATCTTCCTTCTGTCATTCTCTATACTCTTAACTAATTTTATTAGAGATGAATGCCGAGTGAAGTTTTGCTTTCCTTTTGAAGGAAAAAGGGCTTTTGAGCACTGCTCTTTGGAAGTGATGGACTCTGAAATAGGTGGGGAACAGGTTGTAGAAGTTGCTTCAAGTTTTATATCTGGAAAACAGGAAAAAGAAGAAAATATGTATCATGTGCAGATTCAGTAATTAAAAGCAATTATTTGAGCCTGGCTTATAATTGTTGAAGTACCAACAGCAGCAAACATGGAAATTCAAGAATCTCAATAGCTGAACATCTACTGTGTGCAAATAGATACTGGTTGCCGTGCTGATAAGGACAGTGATGTGACTAGTAAAAGATTTTCTGCTTAGTTATTCTGTCTTTTGGTCAAAAATTTCTAGTAGAGAAAATGAAAAAAACAATCAATATCATCAGCAGAAGAAAAGGAAGTGACACATACACCTACCCTGAGTATTTGGCAAGACCTCAGGTCCTGTCCACTTGAATGCTGGTTTTCTACCTCTCTCCTCTGTAACATGAACTTTTTTGATAAGCTTAAGGCTGCTGAGAACATTTGCAATGTCATAAAGTCTTCTAATTTTGGCTGAAATAAAAGAAATAAATGGAAAGTCTAGCAACTGCAATTAACAAGTAGCATGTATCAGAAAAGAAATGTTGTAACACCCTTTAAGCAGCTAAAAGGAAAAAGCTTTTAGAACAATCAAAAGAACAACTTTGTGGAACAGGTATTTATACAATGAAATAATATTGTGATACAAAGTTTACATGTAAAACAGAAGACATAGATACAGATCTAGAAGACACTGCAAAGTTTATTATGCTAAATATGGAAAAAAGAATGCTTTCAGAACAAGTCAGTTTCTGTGCAATGATCAAACCTACACAAATTCTGTAGTACATATAAGTAGATTAAAAGGCAGGTACACACATGCAACGGCAAACATGGGAACTAGAGGGCAGAGCCACACTAAAATCCAACAGTATAACCATCCTGCATATCTTCCCTGTCTCTAGGTTGAGCTGTTAGGGAGAAGTTTCAGGTAAAAGTCAAACTACAAGTGAGTTCTAGAGCACAGGGAATGTGCTTAGGTCATGGAATTTTTTGCTTCATAACCAAGAATGTGGTAAAACATGGGATTTATACTTGAAATACAGGTAGACAGATGGCACGTCCTGAAAATGCTTTTATTGTGAGACAGGCTCTTCTTATGGGAGAATAAAAGCAAGCAATAACCCTACTGAGTAGCCACCCACCATCTCTGTGTTGCTGTGAGGCAGTGGAAAGGAAATAATGAACTGAAATCAGCAAGGATCAGTATTCACATAGACACGATTCCACAAAAAAACTCAGAACCAAAACAAAAAATAACCCAAACAAGCAAAGGAATCTGAGAATTGAGGAAGAGTCTAATTTTCACTGAAACCCACAACTATCCCTCAAAAGCAGCACAATTTTAATTATTATATGTCTACTGACCTAGCCCTAGAAATACCATTCATTTGAATGGAGAGGAAGAGGAAGAAGTGTGCAGGGAACTGAGAGAAGGGTAAAGGAGTGAAGAAATAATTGGCAGTTAGAGCAAAGGGTTTCACTTCCTCTAACACACAAGTTGGTCACAGGACTTTTACAGAATTTCTTTAGATTTCTACCAAGTTAGTTATGGGGCCAGAACACAGATTTTGCATGATTCTGGGGCATCTTTGGTGAAATTATGCTGAAAACTTTGACAGGCTGCTTGAGGAAAGAGAAATTGTTCCTAATATGGAGGCTTGTGACAATACTTCAGAAGGGAGGATTTAATGGACTTCTCCTCTCAGGTGGGCATTATGCATCAATAGCCACACAAAAATTATAAACTGCAGAAGGTGTTTGGTGAGTTTTTGGAGGCTCAAATAAACATTTGTGGCAGGAAAAATAAGACAGTATTTTTCCTTATATGAAGTAGTCCTGGGATAATTCATTTAGCTTACTTACACTTGGCTGTTGTACTTACTTTTAAACTTGCTTTTATCTAAGTCTTCTAACTGATCTTCTCCAATCAGGATTTTAGCAGCAACTTCAAGGCTCACTATTTGAGGTGTTGATACAAGAAACAGCATCACAAATTTCTGACTCATCACTCGTAAGGACTTGTATTTCCTGCCATTCACTGATGCTGCATCAGACAGGAAAAAGGATTAAAGTATTCAGGGACACACCAGCTACAAACATAAAGAGTGAAGAAATTTGTCAGTAATAACAACTGTAAGAATAACACAGAGACTAGGGCCAATGCTGACTCCAGAATCATGTTTCTACATGACAAGAAACAGATGACTGGGTGGATACCAAGTCTAACTACAAAGAAGAGACAGTGATGTACCCCACATATACATTTCCCATTGTCTGACAACTTATATTCCTAAAGATGCTTAACCCTTAATTAAAATTTCTTCCATGAATTAAAGCTAAATTAATAAAACAAATTGAGTAATTCATGTTTCAAGTTTCTATAACATTCAGTAGTAACTTCTGGTTTCTATAACAGTTCAGTGGTCATGGCAATTGAATTATACGTTGGGATATTTGATAATTTCACCTGATGTAGAAACAAATTACAAGAACTGAACGAATAAGACAAGTGAAAGAGTGCAGAGCACTTTTCCTCACTGCAAACAGTTGTGGTGCCTTTGGGGCAGCACCACCTCAGAAAAAAAAAAGGAAGGTTAATAAATGTTTTTTTCCCCATGTTCATAGAAGTTTATCATTTCAAGTACATATTATTCTTGTCATTATAGAGAATTATTACCAGCACGAAATTCCACTCCTGGGAGCTCGACAAAAGACATTTCTGACTGCTCACTTGAGCCAAAAGAACTTGCCATTTCTTCATTCCTTTCACCGTCAGGATCAAATTCATGCTCGTACTCTCTTCTCTTGATCATCTGGATTTGCTGTATGTATTTGTTCTCTTCCCCCACCTTTTTCAGGGCCTGCAGGGTCTGGGGGAGGTTGTGGCGCCCGTGCCAGACGTATCTGTTCCTGGCCAGGCGGCTCACCATGTGCAGGCTCTCCAGCACGTTCACAATGTCATAGATGCGCCTGCGCTCCACATCTGCAGGGGAAAGGTCAACCTGACAGCTCTGCCATGCAACACACCTGCCCTCGGGCATTACCTGCAGCACAGACTCCTGTCCTTCCTCTTGGGATACTTCCAAATCATTTTTGCCAATTCCACAGCATAAACTGAAAATAGCCCTCCCAGGTTTGCCAGCAAGGAAAACAAATCTTGCTTCATATATGCAAGGACTTGCTGCTCCAGAGTTATACTTGGCTTTTAGCATTCTTTAAGAAATAAAATCTACTGTTGCCAGAAGAGCCATTACATGGGTTTCAATCCAGCTTTAGAAGAAACAGAGCATTTTTAATTATTCACTGCATTGATTCTAGATTGTGTCCTAAAATAACCTTAGAAACTCATGGTAGGAAACTGTTTTATAACTTCTTTTTACATGTCATTTTATTAGCACACTCTTCTGTTGTGTTGTGAGGGTCTCCAGGACGAGGTGAGAGATGAACCTGACTCCAAATTTCTTAGAAGGCTGATTCATTATTTTATGATATTATATTATATTAAAAGAAAATTATACACTAAAATTCTACTAAACTGTAGAGAAAAGAATACATCAGAAGGCTAGACAAGAATGAATAACAAAAACCCATGACTGACCAGAGAGTCCAACACAGCTGGACTGGGATTGGTCATTAAATTAAAACTATTCTCCAAATCACATTCCAAAGCAGCAAAACAGGGAGAAGCTGAAGCTTCCCAGCTTCCCAGGAGAAGAAATCCTGGCGAAGGGATTTTTCATAAAATATCACAGTGACACTCCTCTGTTCTCATTTGTCTGATAAATTCTTGGTTTTGACCAGACATTTCCTAAAATATATGTCCTTTTGTACAAAGTATACAAAAATGTAAATCATACAGCTTTTAAAATTTTAAAACTATTATCCATATATAAGCTGTAGAATACTGTAACTCCATAACTTTTTTTGATTTAAAAAAACTTTCAGCTTGATCTTAGAAATGTGGAGTCTGCAGAAATTATTGGTGCAACATAAAAAATAGTGATATAGAATGAGAAAGTTAATATACCATCAAGAACAGAAAGGAGATTCTTGCTTTCATGTCATGATCGGACAGGAAGCTGTGGGCTGAGTTTGAGAAATGCTAGTTAGTGCTGCAAAAATCTAACCACTAATCTTAGGTATCATCTCTGAATTTAAAAACCTGCAACTGGTTATTTGTGGTATAAGCACTAATTTAGATGTTCAATATGAAACAGAATTCAGAGTTTCTCAGTTCAATTCACTGAGGAAACATCAGCATTCTAAAAGAATTGCTCTGGGAATTAGCAGTTTAAAACTGGGTTTAAATAAATTTGAGATCAGAGTAAGTATCCAAAATTGTATGGAGCAAAAATATACTAACATAAATGGCAGCTTATAGGCAAATTTGCATGAAGAAATATTTAATAGGATGAACACCAACTTACGTAGCTCTTCAGTGACTTCATCAAGGCAAATGTAACTTTTCTGTGAAGGGCTGGGGTAATCAGGATACCGAGCTAAGAATTTATGACACAGTAATCCCAGACTTTTCTCTTTGCGACTTGGCTGAGATTTTTCATATTCATCCCCCAATAAGTGCTCCTACATGGGAATAAGGAAAAGAGATTGTGAGGTTTTTGACACTATGTAAGCACAGATATTTAACAGCTTCACAGTGAGCACTGTCAAAGGGCCAGTGTTCTCTCTTTGTCCTCAGCAGCTGTGAAATAAAACCACAACACTACCTGCTGAATGTAGCTAGTCAATATCATTACTTATATTTGGTAAATGCTCCAAAAGCAAAACTTTAAAAAAAGATATGCTGTGTCAATGTATAATTTTTTATACTGAATAAACAGCCTTCAGCTAACTTAACAAAAAAAAAAAAGAGAAAACAAATACTTTTCAACATACCTGCAAACAGTGTTTTGTCTGTAGGACCTCACTTGAACTGTCTGACAGTTGCCTTCTCTGTTCTCTGCTCCTAATCTCAGGACTGGCTGCACTAATCAGCATTTTCAGGTTGGAAGTAGGTGTCCAGGGATCTGCTGGAGGGGTTTCCTTCGGTTTTGGGGGTGTGGTTAGAGGCTGACAGTCAGGCTGTCTCTCTGTCAGTACCAACTGTGAGGTAGACGCTTGTTTCAAAGGGGTTTTCAGTACATTTTTGCATGGCTCAGAATGCTCATTTTCCTACATATCAATGAAAAGAACAATGGTGATGTTAAAGCCCAGGTGTATCATGACCCATTTATCAATAATAGTCAAAGGGGGATAGAGATCCATCGTGTTTTTTGGGTAGCTCCAAGTCAAGGGTTCCAGTCCTACTCTGAACCAATGAGTCCCTTCCCTGAAACCATTTCTGTGCCTGTAGCTTAAGGCTCGGGTCCCCTGGCATTTATTCCTCGGGTAATTTTCCTTTTCCTTCCTCTGAGGCAAATACAATCAGAACATACGTTAATGCATAGCAGAGAGCTATAAATAATAGCTGAAACATGTAATGACCCGGGAGCGGGTGTGATGTTGCTTATAAATTCTTGTTGAGCTAAATAGACACCAGCCTGCATGTCAGGGAACACTTATCTTTGTTATAACATAATTAATTATATATATATGTATATAAATAATTATAATTATAATATAATCGCCTCAACTCCGGCGCCCAGCCCGGTATTTGTAGTGACGGAACTGTTGGCTAACAAGCTCCTAACTTTTACAGTGAACTTTAACAAGCTCCCAACAAACTTCGGAGCGGAGTAAGGGGTGGAATGTGATCGCGGGGTTTGCCGAGACAGAACATGAGAGGATGGAGACGGGAAAGCGAAGGGAAGGGGTGCCCGGGCGGGCTGGATCGGGACCGATGCCCTTTCCCTGATCCGCTTCCCGGTCCTTTCCCTCCTATTCCTCCTTTGCTTTTCGCGCCGCGTCTCCGCGCATGCGCGGTGGGCCCCGCAAAGCCCTCCAAGAAATGGGTCTGCGGTCTGTGGTGGCCCCGGAGCCCCTTTCGGGGTCCCGGAGCCCCTTTCGGGGCGGTGCCCGGGGCTCCGGGCAGGCTGGCCAGCCTGGAATTGTGAGGGAAGCGGGCTCGGTGCAGCGCCGCCCCACCTCCGCGGGACCCTCTCCCAATCGCAGCTTCTCCGTCTCGGCACCACAGAATGCCCGAGACAAACGCGCTCTGAACATCACTATCCCTGCTCCTCCACACACACCTTCCGTAAAGGGAAAAACAGAGAGGAGAGGACAGCCAGGAGGAAGAAGTTCTTCAGGGACACCGTGGGTAAAGGTCGCGAGAGATGAAGTTTCAGGAGCTCTTGTTGAGGACAGAAATTAAAGCGAAGGTAAAACACGCTCGGTTTCTGCCATCCCGCGGTTTCTACGCGCGATCATTCCGACCGAAGCGGTTTCACCCCCAGCCGGGCGGAGCGCGGGCAGCGGGGCTGTCACCGCCCCGCGGGAAGCGGCAGCCCCGGGGGGCGGCTGCTCTCGCTCACCGGAGGAATTACCTTGTCGCCGGCCCCCATCTCCCCGCCCGCCGGCCGCATTCTCCCGCCGCCTCAGGAGGCGACACCCGCCGCTCCCGCCGCGCCGCTCCGCATCGCAGGTCGCGCCGGCTCTGCAGGGCGGGAGGAGGGAGGGAGGCACTGGATGGGGGCCCCGTTCCAGGCCGGTTCCCGCTGTCCTCCGCGGCCGCCGGGCTCGTCCCGCCGCCTCCCGGCCCGGCCCGCGCGCGCCCGCCCGCCCGCCGCCCAACGGCCCCAGCCCCGCCCCGCCCCGCCCGCCGCGGCCTAGCACCGCCCATCGGCATTGCCGGCGGCGCATTTAAACACGGGGAGACAGTACCCCTGCGCCCTCCCGCTCCCGCCGCGCACCCCACGGTGCGGGAGCGCCGGCGGCCCCCAGGACCAGCGCTGTCACCGCTGCCCGCCCCGGCCCGGCCGAAGCGCGGGGCCGCTCCCGGTGCCGATTTGAATTCAACGCGCGGAGCAGCCGCGGGCGGGTGGGGCGGGCGCGGCAGCCAATCAGCTCCCGGCGCCGCTCCCCACGCGGCCAATGGGAGCGCGGCGTTGCGCGGCCTCTCCCTCCTCCTCCCGCCTCCCGCTGCCGGGCGAGCGCCGGCGGGGCTCGGGCCGGGGCTTTGGCGGGTTCCCTCCCTGCCGCCCTCCCGCCCCAACGGCCGCGGCGTCGCGGGGCGGAGCGGGCGGGGGGCCCCGGGCGGTTTAGCGGAGCCCATTTACCCGCCGCTGCCGCCCGCCTCGCCCCGTCCCGTCCTCGTCCGTCAGGGGCCGCGCGGGCCCCGCGCGCCGCTCGCGCCTTCCCCCGCCGGCCGCGGGCCCCGCGCGCCCCTCACGGGGTCCCGCCCGCCGCTCCGGCGCCAGATCGCGAGGGCCCCGCGGCCGCCGCGCTCCTCGGAGCGCACCGCGCACGTCGTGTTTAAAACACGCCGCGCTTCGCGGTTAAACCACACTGCACTCGGTGTGCCTGTGCCTCGGGCCGGGGATGGACAGCGGCGGGAGAGGCTCCCCCGCGCAGCTGAGCCGGTGAGGGCTCAGGTGAGGCGCCTCGATCGCCCCTGGCCGAGGGGTGGTGTTGCCCCCCAGATAAGGGTCGCAGCCGTCTGGTGCCGCTTATCGCAAAATCACAGACCCAAACTAGGCTGGAAAAGACCTCTGAGATCAGCAAGTCCAATCTATGACCCACATATGGCAGTGACCGTGGCTACGGCAGTGAGCACCACGTCCAGGCTTTCCTTAAACACCTTCAGGTGACTCCATCACCTCGTTGGGCACCCTATTCCAATGTCTGATCACCCTTCCTGTGAAGAAATTCCTCCTAATGCCCAACCAAAACCCCCTGTCGCATTTTAAGACATCTTGTCCTGTTCCCTGGGAGCAGAGCCCGAGCCCAGCGGGCTGCACGCTGCCCTCAGGGGGCTGTCGAGCCTGATAAGGGTGCCCCTGACCTTATTGCAGAGGTTACAGTGCTTTTGTTCTACAGGCAGGAGTCTGGGATTTAAACCCACCCCGTCTCGGCCGGTTTTGATACTAGAGCCAGGATTTCCAAACCTTTTGATGTAACTCCGCAGTTTGTTCTGAAAGGGAAGTCTGAAAGCTTGTAAACTCAAATGAAAATATTGACCCCAAAGGGATCTTCACTCCTTGGTGTCACCAGCCATGTAGCAGCCAAGGGTTATTCTCTTGGAGTACCCATGAGCCACACCTTAAAAAGTGGGATTTGAGTGGACATTTGCACTTTCTCCTTGTTTATGCTTTGTTACAATTACTGTGTATTGGTTTCTTTCTATAAAATGTGCACTCGAAGGTGTGATTGTTGTAACCCAGAGCTGGTGTGTGACTCACAAGAAGTATAAATGTAAATACTAAAAAAATAATGTGTGTTTTTTCTTCACCCCCGCAACGCCAGCATGATTACATGGAATTTGAGTTACTTGAATAAGGAGCACTCATGTGTTTCAAAAATCAAACCAGGGGGGGAAAAATCACGCTTTAACATTCAAGCTGTCATTTGAATATTTATTTAATTTACGTTGAGCTTTGAAAATTACCTTTATCACCTAATCAAGAAGCCATTATCTCTGTTCAAACAACACACTCTTGTGACCTTTGTTCAGGGGACTTCTTTCCTTCGAGTTAGCTTTACAACTGCCCATTACAACAGTATCAGCCATTTTAAAGTAAAGGTTTAAGGAATTTCCAAGGATATTACATCCACTGAAATAATTATTCTGTTAGTAACTTCTGTGCCTCTCTTACCATGCTCCTTACCACCAAAGTGCCTTTGCCTTTCTGAGATTATGGAATTACATGGAGCAATAAAGGGCATTCTCATTTGCAGCCCCCAACTGAAACTGTTTGTATTTCCCTCTGCTCTTGCTTGACTTGCATAAGAAACAGCAATTACCTTCTCTGCCAGGTACTCTTAAACGAAAAAGAACAAAGATTAAAAACTTTCGTGTCCCTGACATGGCAACCAAAAGCACCAGCAGCTAGGTAATGATGGGCCCTTTAATGAATAACCTTGAAGCCTTTTGTGTGATGGTCTTTGTCGGGGATGTTTGCTGCTTTCAGGTATTGTGCTGAATCGAGACAGCACCTGATGCCAGAAATCAGAGCTGGAGAGTGATAGGTGATTTTATCTATGCTGGTTCAGCTAAAGAGTTACTTGTAGCATTGCCATGTGGATTAAAGAGAATGTTTGACATATCCTAGCGGTTTGGTCCAATCCAATCACTGATAAAGTGGTCAATAAGCAAAGAATTTGTGAAATTAAGTGCTTCCAGTGCCTCTATTCTAGTTAAGCATCCCTCCTCATCTGCCTGTAGAAATTTTCCTCTCCCAGAAACAACTTTAGCAATGCATTGGGCTAAAGAGAGCACTAATCTGGTTTGCTCTGCATGCACTGCTCGACTTGTATTTCTTGTATGAACACATGTTGTCAATAATGGATTTGTTTAGGCAGCAAAGCTCAGCATCTCGTGCTGGTGTGCTTCCTAGATGTGGTGCTGCACTTTTGTCAAGAGGAATTGTAATTGATGGCTCACACTGAATTTTATTGGAGTCATCCTTATTAGGTAATTCCATGTATAAGGCCATTTACAGAATGCCCAGGTGGAATCTTCATCCTGGGGGTTACTCAAAAGCTCTGCATGTGATCCTGAGCAAGGGGCTTTAGTGACCACATTTCTAAGAATACTCTGTTGTAAAGTTCCAGTTAATAATAAAAAAAAAAAAATCACTGATAGTAATGTGAATTGAAAATATTTTGTGATCTCTACACCTTCAGAAAGCTGAACTTTCTGTGACTTTATGCCCTGCTGTCAGAGAGCTCAGGCTATTTTAAGCTGCTTTCCTCAAGGAGCTACTTTGTTATTTCTCTTTCTAGGGCTGGAATTGTGAATTTGAACATCGTAGCTGCCAGCAGAGATTTGCAGGGAAGTGCCTCGAGTTCAGCATCCAGTTCCACTGTTGAAACACTGCTTGTGGGAACCCTGGCAAGTGATGCTGCTCCTTGCATCTGTCTCTTTCAAATAACATGTTTTCTGGTAATGTTTATTTTATTCAAGTTAATTTTAAAAGGCAGTCGATACCTCTCATTTATTACAGCTTAATTTTAATGTCTAATGGGTTTCAAGGAGAAACTGCAGCCTTCTGTAGGTATGTACTTCTAAGCAAGAAGTTACTGATATAAGCAGATCCCCAAATACTTCATAAATCTCTCAGTAGATTGGGTTAAATATTTCATATATTTTAAGTATAAATAATGAAATGATTGCCTTTAATAAAAATGAAAAGAAGGCAGAGTAGTTTCAGGAGTACAAGGTAGAGGTCAGAAACCATGGTGTTTCCTTATGCTGCTGTAATGTTAATCTCTCAATTCAAAATTGTGATGAAATCTGCATTATAACATTTATCCTTTTCTTCTCCTTGTCTTCATTCTGGGCTGTGATGTAACAAAAATATATCTTCATTTCTGAGCTATGAGTAAAGTTTTGCAGAGTGTGCAGATAACTTCAGGCTGTGCCTCTTGCAGGAGTGGCATAAGCACTTGGGTTCACTAGAGGTCACACTTGTTTTACTCCTCCCTGTCTGCAAGAGGCTGCTGCTCCTCACAAAGATGTGCTGGCCGGCTGTGCTCCCATCATGGTATTTACCCAGCAAATTGACATCTGTAATTCTGTACAGGCTATAGCAGCACTAAGTGGCTTTTAAATGATTGATTAAAAAAAAGAAAACAAACAAAAACTACAAATCAAACAAACAAACAAACAAACAAAAACCCAAAAAAACCCCCCCAAACCTTTTAAAGATTAAACTGGGAAATGATGGCAAATAAATGACATGTGGCAGACTGAAAATACAACATCTAAAAGCAATCTGGATTTTTGTCAGACAGTACCTCCACGGGCAGCAGCACGTTGTCACAGAATCCTGAAATGGTCTGGTTTGGAAGGGACCTTAAAGCTCATCCAGTTCCACCTCCTGCCATGGGCAGGGACACTCTCCAGTTTCTCAGTGCCCCATGCAGGCTGGCCTGGAGCAGTTCCATGGAGAGCAGCTGCATATCCCGGGCGCTCTGTGGGGTTGGCCCCACAGCAGGCACACACAGCTGCAGCTGTGTCAGGAATGGTGAACAGCAAATCTCCAAGTTTATTGATAGCTCACACATATTTATATTGGTGTTAATGAAGCTTATACATATTGCAAAAGCTGAGCTCATTATTGGTTAAAACACACCTAAATCAACCACACCTACTTCTATGCTCTAATGATTATTTTGTTTCTATGTTTACATTCCTGTGGCTATTCTACCTAGGCTATCTTCATTTTTCTGGCAAAAGATTTTCTCCCCCATCTTCATGTTGCAGCAAGGTCACCATGACCCTTGTCAGTGATTGGACACTGACTACTTAATCCCCAAATTGTTTCCCCTATCCTTATCCAACGGTATCACATCAAAGTGTCCTTTCTCAGCTAGCCAATTATCCACAAAGCTCTCCACATTTCCCCCGTTTTTCTCTTGAACAAGCATGGTTTGATTGAACGCGGTAGATATCATCTTTTGCACCA